ATAAACAGCAGGAAAAGACCATGTGGGCAAAATCAGACTTCAGTTTGCCCAGATGAGAAGATGACAGTAATTCTTGGGAGTCCAGAGAGAGAGAAGGCAGCCTGGCCAAGAAGCAATAAGGATTTACCTGAATTTGTAAAAAAAAATAAATAAATAAATTTCTTGTTAAAAAAAAAACCCTCAGAAAATGTAACTTAAGGCATTGAGTATGCTGAGAAGCAAGAGAGAGGTGACTGTAAAAGGAATTGACAGCAAAAAGTACCCAGAGGCAGTGGCAGTAGGAGACAAATAGACAATTAGGGCTTCATACGTTACAGATGGCGAAACTCAAGGAGTCAAATTGGATCAAGATCAAGGAAGGTCATGCCTCTACTAAACAATCAGACAAGTTTTCTCAAAAAGCAAGGACTCTTTTCCAAATCCAAAAGGAGAAACTGGTTCTCAAATGTAGATGTATAAACTTGTTCTCAGCTAACTGTAGATAAGGACTAGTACTCTTAACACTGGCATGTATTAACCTTCTATTTTGTGTTTTATGTTATAGTTATGTGTCTAATGTGCACATTAGACACATATCCTCAGTTATCCTTGAGGATAAGAATTTGTCCAGCCTCCTAACAAGAATAAGTGATGAGGACTGGATTATTTCTACTGTCCTTTTCCAGATCTGAAAGATTCTAAAAGCCACCCCACTAGCATGTTGGGTAGAACCACCTGGCAGCTTACTTATCAAAAGACATAAACAAACAAAAAAAGATGGGATGCAATCTACACAGGCGTCGAGTATGACTGATTTCATATGACTGAGATTACAGATCTTAGTTATATCCTATAAATTCTAACAGCACTCTTTTCCCCCTCCCCAAAGCACACTTCTTTGTAGATCCAATCTGTTGCCAAGGCCTGTAGTCGATATTACCCTTGTGACATCTCTCATAGCCCCTTTCTCTTCTCTGACACTGCCATTTACTCTGGCGTAGGCCCTATCACCTCTCATCTGGACTTTTGCAATAGCCTATTAATCAGTCTACCTACCCCAAGTCTCTTCCCACTACAGTAGATCTTCCATTCAAGCTGACAAAGCAATCTTCCTCAAAAAGTTACTTGTACTTACTTCAAGTCTTACTCAAAATCCCACCTTTTCCAAAAAGCACTTAATTCTAGTGCATTCCCTCTGTTGATTATTTCCTATTTATCCTATAGTTAGTTTGTACTTAGTTGTTTGCATGTTGTCTCCCTTGTTGGACTGTGAGGTCCTTGAAAATAGGGACTTCTAGTACTTTTCTTTGTATCCTCAAGACAGGCTTTAAAAGCACAATGCCTGGCACATAGTGAACAGGTGTTTAATAAGAATTTATCAACCAATTTTGTTCAACTGAATGAACTTTCTATGAAATCTATGTGGAAAACTTTGGTAATCAAGGTTGAAAACATCTTTGGAAGTGGGGGGTCACTTATGAGCAGGGGAAATCAACTATTAGTTTTCTATTAGCATCAACTTCCTTATTTGCAGAAAATGGGAAAAAGTCTATAGCTTTTTTTTTAAGTTTGTAGAGAAAAAAACAAATTCATGCCACACATCTCTAAATATTTCTATCTTTAGATTAAAATCACATGTAAATACAAGGTAATGTCACCTATGAGAGGGGTATATCCTATTACTATGTCAAAATGAATAACCTGATCTGTTTTAGTACATTAGAAAATTCTAATTTATTCATAATTTAGATTTACTACTTCCTGGTAGGTTCTAAATATTTCCCTGTAACTGTTTAAAATCTGAGATAAAGACTATCAATCTGTATGTTCACAAATTTCCTCCAATATTTAATCCCCTACAGTAATACAAAAGATGCTTGCTAATGTTCCATTTTACGGATTCATGTTCCATTTATTATTAACAAGATGTTCCAGAAACTAAAAAATTATCAATCTTTGCTAGAAAAACTGAGCTGATTCCACTGTTCTCTAGTTTCTGTGTACAATTCTAGGTCTTATTATTGAGAGAATACACTGCCCCACCAACTGAATGCACTTTGTTTCTCATACATGATTTCTTTTCAGGTTTTGAACATGGCATATTTATATTTCACAAACATTTTTCTTTTAAACTGCCAAATTCATATACTTGGTATTTTATAATCAAATAGCCTCTTTCAATAAGTTTCTACTTGGCAGAACCTGATCAATTTGACTTTGTATGGCGCTTTAAGGTTTGAAAGTTTTTTCCTCAGAAGAACCCGTAAGATTGACCATGCAACCATTATTACCTCCTTTCTACAGATGAAGAAACAAACTAAGAGGGTAAGTGGCTCATCCTTGGTCACTGAGCTATTAAGAAGTATCTGAGATTGTATTCAAACTTGACCTGACTCTTAAGTATTCTTTAGAAATAATCGATGAGCAATACCACAGTGTTCAGGTGGAAAAGTTGTCTGAGGTTTATCCTAACAATCTGTAATTCAGTTTCCAAACTGCAAGGCTGTAGGTAAAGTACCATGCCAATGAGAATAAGGAACCAGTGAGGTTCAGAGTCTAAAGCAGCCTACAGATTAGTACAGAAAGTTTTCTAATGCCTCCCCAGAGTGCAGAAGTGTTAAAATAAGTAACACTGTATGTAATTCTAGAGAAAGTTTAGCATAGTGGATAAAGGGCTGGCTTCAATGTCAGTCAAGAAGACCTGGGTTCAAGTGTTGTCTAAGACTGTGACCCTCAGCAGGTTATTTAACATCATAGTGCCCTGAGCAATTACAAAATAGCTGCCAAAATTCATTAGGGTTTCCTCAAAAGATGTCTCTTCACCAAAGAAATACAATTCTCAACAAGAAAAAATTCTAGTGCCATAAATACTATTAAACTGCAAAGCAGACAGTATATACTGAAAAACTTAACTCAGTGCAGTCTTCATTTCTATTTCACTATTTAGACCATGAGCAAGTCACAATTTGTTAGCCTATACAATGTTTCCTCATCTGTAAAAGATGCATATTTAAGAAACTGCTTTTAAAAAGCACCTAGGGCAAATCTTCATGAATGAAAATGCAACTCTATACTTTTGCAAGTTCCAGGTTTCAAAGCTAGTTTCAATTCTAATGGCTGTTAAGTAATTAATTCTGGTAGGGATGATTCAGAAAAAAAAACTCACTTATAAAAAAAAGGGTTGTAATTTAGTAAGTAGCAAGATATTCTGTCCAATGGTAGAGGAAAGGAGAGAAAATGTGGTTAAGAGATTGTAAAAGTAGCAAAATCAGAATAGGAATGGAATATTGCTAAAATAAAACTTGGGAAGAGAGGTGCCTTATGGTAGAAGGAAAAAAATCCAAGAGAGAAAAGACAGTCATTACAATAATTTCAAAACTAGAATAGACCATGGAGGTCTTCTCAACCCCTTTCTTTTTACAGATGTCAAGGGACTTGCTTGAAGTTAAGTGAGAAAGCCAATATTCCAACCCAGGTCGACCCTTTCCAACTCTTCACCGTACTTTTTCCACTGCACCATAGTGCCTCACACAAGAAAGCAAAAATCGAAGTAAATGCTATTATTGATAACCGATTTGAGGATGAAAAGTCAGCAAGGTTTTTATGGTAGTTTTTGTGTACCAGAAAAGCAAAGTAAACTCCGAGTAAGTGTTGCACTTTTCCAGCTCTTGATTTGTATCCTTTCCACTACCACTCCAGGGATCCTAAACCTCACAGGCAATTCAGATGTCACTTATGAGTCAAAATGAGACAACAGATGTAAAACGCTCTGCAAACCTTAAAGTACTATATAAACGCTACTTTAGAAATGTAGTTGAATCGAGCAATGAAGAATAGCATCATTTTTTCACACATTTGAATAATTTTTCTTATATAAGATTGAAAAATGAGATAGGTGCTAACTTATCTTCAGCACCTAACCCCGGAAGAGGGCAGACTTAATGTTTTACTAAATAAAATACAAACTAAAGAGAAAACGTACTGCAGTGATATATCTTACTGTTATGTCCTCATAAACTAAGACTGTTTAATTTTCCATAAGTTTCATACATGAGAGATCACACAAAGTTTAACCAAGGCAAGCAAATGCATTCTTTTCCCTCCATGTTAAATAATATATAAACAGTTCTGTTAAAATTATAATTGATATGCAATTAATGCTAATTACAATATTTTGCAAAAAGGAAGTAAATATAGTTCCACTTTTGAGGGTAACCTACCTAAACATACTGATGAAGTTACTAGTTCCTCTGGGGCAATAACATAATTTTAGAATTTAATAAAAACATTTTGTCCCCCAGGTCCCCTCCCTCTCAGGTCAGAGGATCAGTTACTTAGCACCACTAAAACACCCACCACGAGTGGCTCGTTAAATTACGTGGTGTCTCAGCAGACAAGATGCGTGGGCTTTCCGCCTCGGCCGGAGCCGACGGCAAGGCCAGGGTTAGGCACACACACGCACACGCGAGATGGCATCGGGGATGAAGCTCCGCTAAGTCCTCCGGCCAAGGCGCGCCAGGACGCGGCCGTGTAGGCCGACGCCGATCCCCGGCGCCCGGCCACTCCCACGCCCTCTCCGCCGGGTCCAAACCAAGGCCACGCTGAGGCCCAGGCTGTCCCTATCGGCCCGGCTGCCGGGGGCGGGGGGGGGGAACCCCGCCAGCCTGCCTTCCCCTGGGGCCCCACGCACATAAGAGGCCCGCGGGCTGGGGAAGAAGTAGGGCCAGACGCGCCTCCGGAGGAGGAAAGGAAAGGGGGCAGCAGAGAGAATGGGGGCTCCCGAGGGGCCGAGGTCGGGCCCCCCCAGCCCGCCGCCTCACAAACGGTCTCGCTGGGCCCGGGCCGGAGAACGTTGCGCAGAAGGCCGGCGTGTCTCCACCGCTAGGAGAAAGCGGGGCGTCCGCCGCTCCCACTGCCCCGGGTACGGGGCTGGGGAAGCAGGAGCTGGAGGAGGTGTGTTTGGGAAAGGGGTGGGGGAGGGGACGGGAGCCTGTCTCCCAGGACGCGGCGCCGCAACTCACCCAGCTCCGCCCGACGAGCGCTACCACTGGCAGCAGGAGGAAGATGGTGGCCGCCGCCGCCGCGGAGGAGGGGGGAATGGTGGGTGCCGCCGCGAGGGGGTATGCGCAGGACGTCGTCGTCGCTGCGGCCGCAGCCGCTGCCTCCTTTCCTCCAAGAGCTCGGGCCGCCAATGCGGCTACCACCACCACCGCCGTGGTCTTGGTCGTCCTCGCCCTTGTCCTCCTAGTCGTCGTCGTCTTCGTCTCCGTCCGCCAGCCCAGGGCCCAGGGGTCGCTCGCCTCGTGCTGTCTCCGCCGCTGCGCGAGACCCCGCAGCCATTTGCGTGAAGCGGCGCGAGGGCAGGGAGCAGGGCCGCCTCACGTGACCCCACTGTTTACCGTTCCGTGGGCAAGCGGCCTGGGCGGCTGCGCCTGCGCGCTAAGGAGACGCCAACACCAATACCAATACCACCACCCCCACCTTAATTTTTTTTTTCCAGCTTCGGGTTCCTTCTGGGCGATTCCCCTGCCTCCTCCTCCCTCTTTTTCCCTTTCCAAAATGGCTACCTCTCCTCGACCTCTTCCCCTTCCTTCCCCCAACAGAGACAATTTAATGAAAAAATTAAATCGGCTACTATAACAACTACTTAATATGTTAGTATTTAACACTTTAACTCAGCTACTGTAACAAGTATTTTAACACTTTGGACCAACAACAACAACAATAATAATTGCAACTAGCATTTATATAACACTTTAAGGTATGTGTTTTACAAACATTATTTCATTTTATCTTCCCAACCACCCCAAGAAGGTGGGTATCAATGTCCCCGTTTTACAAATAAGGAAACTGAGAATGAGAAACATTAAGTGACTTACCCAGGAACACACAGCGGCTGTCTGAGGCAGAATTTTAACTCGGCACTTCCTGATTCCAAGTCTAGATCTGGCTTAGACCTAGCCCCAGCGAAAATCCCCAAGCAAAAGTTTGCTCAAAAGTATCGAATAAATAGGTCATTTGCTTCGTAATCTATTATTAGGGCCCATAAAAGTTGTAGGATCACCGGCCTCAGACACATAAAACTTACTAGCTGTGTGACTCTGGGCAAGTCACTTAACCCCAATTGCCTCACTCAAAAAAGAAAAAAGAAAAGAAAGAAAATTTGTAGGATCATAGATTTAGTACTGGAGGGTCATCCTCCAAAACCATTCTTTTTTTACATATGAGGTAACAGAAACCCAGACAAGAAAAGTAAGGGGCAAACCCAGGAGTTTCTAAGAGGCCAGATCCCCTACCATTTCCACTGTCCTTACCCCTAAAAGTATCTCCCCAGCTAGTTTGTTTAAAAAAAAAAGGCCTAATAAAGTAGCAACAAGATCTAATGGAAATAACCCTGGATTTGGAGATAGAGAACCTGCTTTAGAATGCTACTTGTGCAACCTTGAACAAGTAATTTACCCTCTCTGGGTTTCAGGGGGTGTCATCAGTAAAATAAGGAAGTTGAACCCCCATGGATTGTAAAGTTCATTTCCAGCTCTAATTCTGTGGTCGTGATTCTTATCATTCCTGAAGCTGCCTTCACCCTATTTTTACAAATTTGGATGGGTAAGATTAGGGGAGGGGTGTGGAAGAGAAAATAACAAAATCTAGCCACTTTAAATCACCTTGAGGCTGTGCTTCCAAACTTCCTACAAAACTTAGCTCAGGGACCCCTTCCCACCAGTTTATGACGATAAAACGAGATAAAATTTGTAAAGCACTTTGCAAATCTCAAGGTGTTTCATAAATGCAAACTTATTATTAGTCATTTTTGTCTTTGTTTTCCCTAGCACCTAGCACAGCCTTGTACTTAGAGGCTTAATAAATGCTTGTTGAATTGAATTGATTGAGATAGCTGTGACCAGGCTCCCTACACATCCCCGAAGAAATGGGAAATTAAATAGAAATAAAAACAAAAAAAACTTCCTAGGAAAAAGGAAATGGGTAGATAAGAGTTTGTCTAATAAACACTGGACTTCTGAGCACCTTTAGTTCCAGGGCTGCTGAAGACAACCAATAACTACTTAACAATAACAATGTTGCCTAATCTTCTTAAATTGTTTAAAAATATCTACTACTACAGGTAACAATATGCTTTTTAATCTTTGTTTAGATTTTTATACTATATCTAAAAAAATCAGTGAAAAGAATGTAATTGCTACCAAAATGTAATTCTTGGGGAATATTTGGTGCCATGAGTCACAGGCACATTTCATTTTAATCAATCAGCAAGTATTTATTAAGCACCGCTATGGGACCAGCATTGTACTTTTGTTGTTGTTCAGTCCTGTCCAACTCTACATGACCCCATGGACAAATGGGGATTTCTTGGCAAACATACTGGAGTGCTTTGCCGTTTTATTCTCCAGTGTGTCTCTATTTTACAGATAAAGAAATAAAACAAATAGGGATTAAGTGATTGGCCCAGGGTCACACTAGTAGGCCACATTTGAACTCAAATCTTCATGACTTCAGGTCCAGCACTCTAACCATTTCACCACCTAGCTGCCCCAACACTGTACTAGATGTTAGAGATATAAAGGTTAAAAAAAAAAAAGAGATACAATCCTTACTCTTAAGAAAGTTGCATTCTATCATGGGAGACATGCATATATAGAAATATGTGCAGAATAAATACATAAGAAAAATGTTCAGCACCCACGCCTCATTCAGATTTTCCAGACTTTGACACTAGGCCATGGTGCAGATATCCCCTCTCCTACCCGTCTTCGGAAAAGACTTTACTTTTTTGCTTGTACTGTATCCCCATTGCTTATCACAGTGCCTGGCATATAATAAGCACTTAATAAATGCTTCTTGCCTTGCCTTGCCTCACCTCAATCAACAAAGCTGACAAAGTAGTAAAGTATATAATTTTCTTATAGTCAAATGGGAATATGTGGACAAGCATTTAATCAATTTGAAAGGACCATGGGACTTTGGGCCATTGGATAAAAGGTAGATGATGCCAAATGGGAAACATCTTGTGATTGATTGGCTGAGAAAAATTAAGTCAATTTTTTTTGGGGGCCTACATATAAAAACGTCAAATCCTGTCAAGTAGGAAACCAAACCACTAGTGGAGGACTCCACATTTGGAACTGAGTATTCTAGGACACTGAGAGGAAAGGAGAGGTAGGGAAAACATTTCTCCCTCTTCCTCCTAGATCCTCCCACATACACATTTTTCTTTTTGAGAGACTGAAACACCACAACACAAAGCATCTAGCCAGGGGCAAAAACAGACACACTGAGAACAAATGCACACAGTCATAGATTCAGAAGGATAATGTCTCCAGCTGGGCCTGATCCAGCAAGTGCCCTGGTAGTTTAGGTCCAATATTAGAATTAAATGAGATGCTTGCAGGTCATTCAACAGTTTATAAAAGGAGATTTATTTGGCTCCAGAAAGGGAAGGATGTTCAACAAGTTATTCAGTTAAGGACACCTCATGGATTCAACTAAGTGCAACTTCCTGGTGATGGTTAATCCTTAGTGAGAAGCCTCAGAAAGGAAACTGGAGCTCCTCAAAGAAGTCACATCTGAGCCAATCCTTTCAGCCAATCAAATCTTGAAGATAATCTCCCTACTTCTCAAGAAGAATTGGCCAAACTTTTGTGGAATAGGGACTTGGGAAAAGCTAGTCCAGCCTGCACAGCAAGACCCTAAGAAATATAGTTGCCTGAGTAAAATCTGCTTCAAGGAACAAGATTGCCTCATGGCAGACTAAGGCTAGCTCTAAACCCAACTGAGGTATAGATCCCTCAGGGTCCAACTGGTCCAATCCAGCAGATAGCTACACCTAAACAGAACTTCATGAGGATTCCACAAAGTTAGCATAGAACTTAGAGTAACCAGGAGTTTTTCTAAATTCATGCCTCATTGCCTTTGTACTTTTTCTTTGAGCCTACTCTCTTTGAGAACTTTGTATGTAAGAGGTGAGTGGGCCTCTGGTTCGGGTCTGGGGTTGGGATGTTTTGTTACTATTTTTCTTACTCTATCTTCTTAGTAAACACCTTCATTAGAAGTTAATTAAGTCTGACTGGCCAATTGTGAATGGGAAGAACCACGGTTGGGGCTTTTGGATGTCAGTACTAGAAACCCAGCCCCTCAGGCTTACTCCTAGACAGCTGGGTAGTATTCATACTGGCAATAGTAAGTCTTTTTTCTGAGGACCCAACCTATCAGTATGAGTTACTCCAGAAAGAATACTACTCCTATATATGCTATTTGTGTGTGTGTGTGAGGGGGGTTCAGATCATATTTTTGTTCTAAAATCCCAAAATTTGTCTCTAAAAATCTTTCTAATTTTGCCAGAACCATGAAACACTTTTTGAAAAAAATCTGGTCAAGGGGCAGCTAGGTGGTACAGTGGGTAGAGTACCAGCCCTTAAGTCAAGAGCACCTGAGTTCAAATGTGACCTCAGACCAAATACTTGACACTAGCTGTGTGACCCTGGGCAAGTCACTTGACCCCAATTGCCTTAAAAAAAAATCTGGTCACATGAACACAACCCATTGGGAATCAGAACAAATCCAAATTAAAGCTTTTTTTTTTTGCCCTATATAGAGAGTGAGCATGGTGTAGCGGATAGGGAGCCGGCAGCAGAATCAGGAAGACTTGGGTTAAATTCAGCCCCAATACATACTGGCTGTGTGACAGTGTGGCTCAATAACTTTGTATTGCAGTTACAAGGACAGCTAGGTGACAGTGGGTAGAGTGCTGGGGCCTAGAGTCAGGAAGACATCTTCCTGAGTTCAAATGTGACCTCAGGCACTTTCTAACTGTGTGACCCTGGGCTAGTCACTTATCCCTGTTTGTGTCAGTTTCCTCATCTGTAAAGATGAGCTAAAGAAGAAAATGGCAAACCACTCTGCTATCTTTGCCAAGAAAACCCCAAATGGGGTCACAAAGAGTCAGACCTGACAGAACAATTGCAGTTGCAGATCAATATGATTAGAGGGAGTTTCATCACCTAAAGTTCCTCATATAAATTAAAGCATAGGTCCAGACAAAATAAAGAAACCACATTTTTATTTCTTTTGTGTTTGAAACTTGGCATAAAAACCAGGTTCTGAATTTGTTTCATCACTAATCGTGATAATTAACACTTTTGCATGCTTGTCCTTTCAAACTTCCTGATTTCATACAATTATCCACCAAGGGAGTTGCTATAGTAAATATATAAATTATGTGTGATTGAAGGAGTGTGAATACTCTTTTCAGATGGAAAAATCAATTAGCAAGCATTTATTATGCTTGTTATATACCATATATGCTACATATGCCACTATAAGAGGCTGAAG